GTTTTGATCCCCTGGATCCGCGCTGTTCGTCTCCAGCTCCGCGAGCGGTTCCAATCGGACTTTCCTGTCCTGCGTCTGCACTCTGACAGAGGTGGTGAGTTCTCCTCAGACCTCTTGGCAGCCTTCTGTGCGGAGCACGGCATCCGCCAGACGTTCACGCTTCCGGCCTCTCCGCAGCAGAATGGGGTTGCTGAGCGCCGCATTGGCTTAGTCATGGAGGTCGCTCGTACCTCCATGATCCATGCGGCTGCCCCCCATTTTCTGTGGCCGTTTGCGGTCCGGTATGCCGCGCATCAGCTGAACCTCTGGCCCCGTGTCTCCTTGCCGGAGACCTCGCCCACACTGCTGTGGACGGGGAAGGTTGGCGATGCGTCGCGGTTCCGGGTCTGGGGTGCTCGTGCCTTTGTTCGCGATACCACCGCGGACAAGCTCTCCGCCTGCGCTGTTTCCTGTGTCTTCATTGGCTTTGTCCCTGACGCGCCTGGTTGGCAGTTTTACCACCCCACCTCGCGCCGTATCTTCCCCTCTCAGGACGTCACGTTCGACGAGTCGGTTCCCTTTTACCGTCTCTTCCCCTACCGCACTGCCCCTCTCCCCCCCCCGCCGCTCTTCCTCGCTCCAGGTGCTCCCCGGGTAGACCCCCTCCCCGCTCCCGGTCCTGCTCCTTCAGGTGTGTCTCAGGTAGACCCTCCTACCTTGACTGCGCCGGTTGAGGTCACTGGTGACTCAGGTCCTGCTGAGGGTGGTCCTGCTCGGGGTGCTGCTTCTGGGGGTGCTGAGCCTGGGGTTGCGGAGCCTGGGGGTGCTGAGCCTGGGGGTGCGGAGACTGGAGGTGCTGAGCCTGGGCGTGAGGAGTCTGGGGGTGCTGAGCCTGGGGGTACTGAGTCTGGGGGTGCTGCACCTGGGGGCGCTGAGGCGTCTGGTGAGCAGTCTCCCTAGAGCGGCCGTCTCCGTAGTCGCTCCGCTGGTGCCTCGCCGCTGCACTCTCGTCGTCGACTCCCTCTCTCCCCACAGCAGCTGCTTGAGTGGTACGTTGGCCGTCAGGGTCGCGCTGCTGGAGCTAGGGGCCCTGCTGCGGGAGGCGCTGGAGCTGGTGACCTTCAGCAATGGAGTTGTTTCTGCTGGAGGTTCTGGAGCTGCTGAGGGTGCTGGAGCTGGAGGTTCTGGAGCTGCTGGAGGTGCTGGCGCTGGTGGCGCTGGAGCTGGAGGTTCTGGAGCTGCTGAGGGTGCTGGCGCTGGAGGTTCTGGAGCTGCTGCGGGTGCTTGCGCTGGAGGTTCTGGAGCTGCTGCGGGTGCTGGCGCTGAGGGTTCTGAGTCTGCTGTTACGCGGTCTCCTTGGAGTAGCCGCCTTCGTCCGCGTGTGCCTCTCACCTCCCAGCAGCTGCACGACTGGTACGGTCGCCGTCAGGGTCGCGCTTCTGGAGCTCGGGGCTCTGCCGCTGGAGGTACTTCTGCTGACGTCACTGGAGCTGGGAGTGGTGCTGGTCCCGGAGGTGCTCGTACTGGAGGTACTGGAGCTGTTGGGGCTGGAGGTGCTGAGCCTGAGGGTGCTACTGCTGGAGACTCTGGGTCTGGGGGTGCTGCTGCTGGAGACACTGAGGCTGGAGACCCTGGGACTGGGGGTGCCGGTTCTGGGGGTGCTGCTGTTGGTGGAGCTGGTCCTGGAGGAGCTGGCGCTGAGGGTTCTGGAGCTGCTGGAGGTGCTGGAGCTGCTGGGGGTACTGGAGCTGCTGGTGCTGGTGTCACTGCACAGCCGCGCCTGTTCTTCGCTCCGCCGTGTCCGCCGTCTCAGCCACCGCCTGACTCTGTGCTTCGCCAGGTTCTTAGTCTCCCTTCGTCTTCTGGTCTTCTGTTACAGCCTGGCTCACCGCTGCCTGCTCCTTCTCCTTACACTGAGCAGACAGGGAGTCTTACTGAGTGTCGTGAGCCTGCGTCGCGTCCTGTCTCGCCTGTCCGTTCTGGTCGTTCCGGTCGTCGTGTTCCTCGTCCGCGTCAGCCGGCTGTCCCCGACACCCACCTCGTAGTCCGTCGTCCTTCCTCTCCTCCGCAGCGTGTTCCTCTGCCGTCTCCTCCTGCGTCTTCTCTGCCTGTCGTTGCGGACCCTGAGTCTGACCGGTTTCGTGCTGAGCACCCTACTGTCACGCGTCTGCTAGCCGCTGTTGTCACTGACCCGTCGTTTGAGTCTGCTGCTGCGTCTGCCTTTGTCGCTGAGCTGGTTGACTTTGCTGCTGCCAGTCGTCTAGACTACACTGCTAGTCTTGTTGCTGAGTCTGAGTCTGTCTGTCCTCCGTCCGTCGGGGGTGAGTGTGCTCTTGGCACGGACGTCCTTGAGGACAGACAGGAGGACCTTGAGTGTCTTGCAGCCGCTGCGCCTCATCTCGTGTCCATGCTGCTTGCCCCTGAGGGAGACCCGGATGCTCCAGACATCCCGACCCCGCGCTCTTACGCTGAGGCGATCGCGGGTGAGTACTCCTCTCAGTGGCAGACAGCCATGGACGCAGAGATGGCATCCTGGAAGTCCACAGGCACTTACGTCGACGAGGTTCCCCCTCGTGGGGCGAACATCGTCAGTGGCATGTGGATTTTCAGGGTGAAGCGGCCGCCGGGTTCTCCGCCTGTCTTCAAGGCTCGTTATGTTTCTCGAGGTTTCAGTCAGCGAGAGGGAGTTGAATTCTTCCAGACCTTCTCCCCCACCCCGAAGATGACCACTCTTCGGGTACTGCTGCACGTTGCCGCTCAGCGTGACTACGAGCTTCACTCTCTTGACTTCAGCAAAGCTTTCTCACAGGGCAGCCTGCACGAGGAGATCTGGCTGCGCCGCCCTCCTGGCTTCACTGGGTCGTTCCCTCCTGGTACCCAGTGGAGCCTCCGGCGGCCGGTCTACGGTCTCCGCCAGGCGCCACGTGAGTGGCACGACACACTGAGGACGACACTTGCTGCTCTTGGGTTTGCTCTGTCGACTGCTGACCCGTCGCTGTTTCTGCGCACCGACACTTCGCTGCCGCCGTTCTACATCCTCGTGTACGTCGATGACTTGGTCTTTGCCACTGCTGACACTGAGGCTCTCGCCCTGGTGAAGTCGGAGCTGCAGAAGAGACACACGTGCACAGACCTGGGTGAGCTGCGCAGTTACCTTGGCTTGCAGATCACCCGGGACAGAGCACGCCGCACCATCACCCTGACTCAGTCACACATGGTGCAGCAGGTCCTTCAGCGCTTCGGCTTCACCTGGTCCTCGGCACAGCACACTCCTCTGGCTACAGGTCACTCGCTCTCAGCTCCACCTTCGGACGAGTCCGTAGAGCCGAGTGGTCCTTACCTAGAGCTAGTGGGCTGCCTCATGTACCTGATGACCTGCACTCGTCCTGACCTTGCGTACCCTTTTGGCCTTCTGGCTCGCTACGTGGCTCCTGGTCAGCACCGAAAGGTGCACATGAATGCTGTTAAGAGGGTACTGCGCTACTTGTGCAGTACATCGGGCATGGGGCTCGTGTTTGGAGGGCGGAGTCCAGTTGTTCTCACTGGGCACTCAGACGCTTCTTGGGTTGACGACCAGGCTACGCAGCGGTCGTCACAGGGTTACACCTTCAGCCTTGGCTCCGGCTCTGTTTCTTGGCGGTCTACACGCTCGTCTTCTGTTCTCAGCTCCAGTTGTGAGGCTGAGATCTACGCGACAGCCATGGCTGCACAGGAGTTACGCTGGCTCACCTACCTGCTGACCGACCTGGGAGAGCGGCCTCGTTCTCCTCCAGTGCTGTACGTCGACAACAAGGCCGCCATTGCCTTGTGTGAGGAGCACAGACTGGAGCACAGAACGAAGCACATCGCTCTGCGTTACTTCCTGGCTCGAGAGTTGCAGCAGCGTGGTCAGCTTCGTCTTGCTCACGTGGCCACTCGGGCCAACACTGCTGATATATTCAACAAGGCACTTCCGTCTGGTGATCATCAGCGTTTCTGCACTTTGTTAGGCCTTGTGCCCACTTTTCCTCACTTGCTGTAAACTTTGCTTGTACTGTGATCTATATATATACCTGCATGCTTGCTCTGCTAGGTAGAGATCACTGTGCTGTTGTTGTTGCATATATACCCCTGCATGTGAACTGGCCTTGTGGCCCTTTGCTTGTGCTCAGTGTGTGTGGTGACGTTGTGATCCACCCTGAGCTTGCTTTGCTTCTCTTGACTGGTCTTGTGACCCCTTGCTCTCCCCCACTTTGCCTATGGGGGTGTGTCAAATGATATATCTGCTATATATGTTTAGGCTGTAGTGGGGTAGTTCATATAGGGTACAACATTTCTAGGTTTCCTACTTGTACCCAAACTGCTTGCTAGTCAATCATTCCTTCGTTCCTATTCTGACACATATTTGTACCCAACTATTTCATAGTTCATCCATTCCTGCTGCTAGATTCTTACATTTTGGCGAGGCAGGGAAATCAGAGCCGGTTTGGGATGAAGATTCGCAATCTTATTTGCACTCGTGGGCGGATATTAATGAGCTGCTCTCGTTCAAAAAACAGAAATGACGTGCTTGTACCGACTTGCGAGGCGCCTCAATTGATGGGCGAGGCAGGGCGGACGGAGCTGGTATGCGATGAAGGGTCGGTCGGGGTCTTACCGTATGGCCCCGGATATAAGCGCCGTCCTATTAAAGGCGCCGGCACTTCTATCTGGAGCATGGCGCTTATGGCCGGTACTCGTTTATAAGCACATCCCTTATTAAACCTGTACTTATTACGGTACTAGTTGCAGAATTAAAAATACTAGGATAAAACGTACATATTTTTATCACACTGTGAGCTTCTATTTTATACAAAACAAAATAGAGTAGAATGTACAGTGACGACCCTTACCATTCCTAACAAGTGCACACTTCTCCAATTGCATTCCCACATTTTCTAAATGCTGAATTGCAGCCTCCAAGAGCCCAAACTTGGCTGCAGAACCTGCTGCCAGCAGCAACTGGCACACACGTGGCGCACTGCGATTGGCTGCCCACCGTTCTATCGCAGCTGCTGAGGCTGGGGAGACGGACACCTGGAGAGAGGTGCAGCAAGATAGTGGGGGGTGGTGGAGAGGGACGGACGGGAGAGTAGGGTGTGACGGGGGGAGCGAGGTGACGAGGAGAGAAATAAGGTGAGGAAGTGGAAGAGGAGACGTGGGGCAGGGAGGGTGGGGGAGGTGCAATTAAGTGAGGATGAAGAGCAGTTGGGCAAGGAGAGTGGGGGAGGAAGAAATGTACTACTAAGTCTTATTCGCAAAACCTTCGCAAAACCTGACAATCAAGTTATGACTATTGGGTCCAACTCTTATGTCTCACTACTGAACCTCTTGTATTGTAAGACTGTGATTCTTGAGCGCACACAATAGCATAACTCACCAGAAGAATATCGATAGGACCGTCTGCCTTCTCTACTATGCCATGCAGCCATTTGAGTGGACGGTGCGAGATGGAGACACCCCTTATCTGACGGCCCAGATCCTCGTTCCATGTATGGAACACCCCCATATCCACTGGTGCTGGAGAGGCAGCGGATGGTGAAGCAGCAGCACCAGATGCTACTGTGTCCGGTCCTACAGTGCCAGATGCTACAGGGTTAGGTGCTACAGTGCCAGATGCTACAGGGTTAGGTGCTACAGTGCCAGATGCTACAGGGTTAGGTGCTACAGTGCCAGATGCTACAGGGTTAGGTGCTTTAGGGGCAGATGCTGCAGTGTCAGGTGCAACAGTGCCGGCTGCCATAGGTCTGGGTTCGACAGGACCAGGTGCTAGAGTCTCAGGTGCTGCGGTGTTAGCTGCTACAGTGTGAGATGCTACAGTCACAGCTGCCACAGTGCCAGCTGCAACAGCGCCGGCTGCTACAGTGTCAGGTGCAACAGTGTTAGGAGCAACAGTGCCTGCTGCTACAGTATCGTGTGCAACAGTGCCAGGTGCTACGGTGTCAGGTGCTACGGCGTCAGGTGCTACGGCGTCAGGTGCTACGGCGTCAGGTGCTACGGCGTCAGGTGCTACAGTGACAGTGACAGATGCTACAACAGCACCATGATCCTTCGTATCATCCTGCAGCAGGGTCCTTTTCGTTGCAGGTGAGTTTTGAGAATGCTCAAAACTCGCCTTTGTACCATCCCTCAGCAACCGCCTTCTCACTCCGCCACTGCTACTCCCCGCATCCCCCTCTTGCAACAACTGGTTTGTGGGAAGCATATTGTTGTCTTGACTGCCCTTGTCTTGACTGCCCTCCACCGCAACCACCACCTGGCTGTTCACAGAGAGAGAGCAAACAGAGGTGCAAGCAGCGCTATCAAAAGCAACATTGTTTAGGGCATCACTGTTCAAGGTGATGTTGGCTAGATTCTCCCTCCACCGCAATCACCACCTGGCTGTTGACACAAAGGAACAAACGAGAGTTGCAGGCAGCACCACATTTAAATTAATCGCTGTACCGTTTAAGGCAGCACCCATCTTTAACAGCAATGTTTTTGGCAGCACTCGTCTTTAACAGCAATGTTTTTGGCAGCACTCGTCTTTAACAGCAATGTTTTTGGCAGCACTCGTCTTTAACAGCAATGTTTTTGGCAGCACCGGCTATAGCAGAACCCACTATGATGGAGCGTTTACAGCAACACATTGAGCAACAGGGGAAGGGAATGGGCTGCCATACAATCACACTCGAATAAAAAGAAGAGTAAGGTAATGCACAACATAACTACCTTGAGACAAATAGCAAGGACAGGAAGGTAGAAAATTCCCCCTCTGCCTTTGGTCCTCGCCCCACCCATGCTACGCTTGCAAGCATAGCAACAGGCACCCAGGGTTTCGAGACGCCTCAAAACCAGCTGGCACCCAGAGCACCAGCTGGCACCCAGAGCACCAGCTGGCCCCAGAGCACCAGCTGGCACCCAGAGCACCAGCTGGCACCCAGAGCACCAGCTGGCACCCAGAGCACCAGCTGGCACCCAGAGCACCAGCTGGCACCCAGAGCACCAGCTCGTACCCAGAGCAACAGCTGGGATCCATTCCAAAGGGGAAATGAGGGAGAGGATAACACCCACCCAGCTGGCACTCACCTTGAGGCGGAGAGCAGAGAGAGGAAGGTGGCGAATCTCCCGTGTGCCCTCGGCCCTCCCCCCACCCGTGAGCTGCTGCTCTTGCAAGCATAGCAACAGCCACCCAGAGCACAAGCCAGCAACCACTTGAAGGCCGAAAGCAGGGAGCGGAGAGCACTAGCTGCCACTCACCTTGAGGCGGAGAGCAGAGAGAGGAAGGTGGCGAATCTCCCGTGTGCCCTCGGCCCTCCCCCCACCCGTGAGCTGCTGCTCTTGCAAGCATAGCAACAGCCACACAGAGCACAGGCCAGCACCCACTTGAAGGCGGAAAGCAGGGAGCGGAGAGCACTAGCTGCCACTCACCTTGAGGCAGAGAGCAGAGAGAGGAAGGTGGCGAATCTCCCGTGTGCCCTCGGCCCTCCCCCCACCCGTGAGCTGCTGCTCTTGCAAGCATAGCAACAGCCACCCAGAGCACAAGCCAGCAACCACTTGAAGGCCGAAAGCAGGGAGCGGAGAGCACTAGCTGCCACTCACCTTGAGGCGGAGAGCAGCGAGAGAAAGGTGGCGAATCTCCCGTGTGCCCTTGGCCCTCCTCCCACCCATGAGCTGCCCGCCATGCGAGCTCGCACGCACACCGCTCGTGAGGAGGGAGCACTCCAGGAGACTGTGAGGGGGCGGAACTGGAAACGATTGGGTAGAGGGAGGGGAGGTGGGAAGGCAGGGAGAGACATAAGGAGCTCGCACACACACTGCTTGGGGTGATGGCGCATCTCAGGAAATGGTGAGAGTGCGGAACTGGGGGAGAGGGGAGAAAGGGGGGAGGGGAATGAGAGGGCAGGGAGAGACATAAGGAGCTCGCACCCACACCGCTTGGGGTGATGGCGCATCCTAGGAGATGGTGAGGGTGCGGAACTGGGGGAGAGGGGAAGGTGGGGGGTAGGTGCAAGAGAGCACAAGCATAGACAGGTGGGGCTACAAGCATAGACAGGTGGGGCTACAAGCATAGACAGGTGGGGCTACAACCATAGACATGTGGGGCTACAAGCATAGACAGGTGGGGCTACAAGCATAGACATGTGGGGCTACAAGCATAGACAGGTGGGGCTACAAGCATAGACAGGTGGGGCTACAAGCATAGACAGGTGGGGCTACAAGCATAGGCAGGTGGGGCTACACGCATAGACAGGTGGGGCGACAAGCATAGACAGGTGGGGCTACAAGCATAGACAGGTGGGGCTACAAGCATAGACAGGTGGGGCTACAAGCATAGACAGGTGGGGCTACAAGCATAGACAGGTGGGGCTACAAAAATAGACAGGTGGGGCTACAAGCATAGACAGGTGGGGCTACAAGCATAGACAGGTGGGGCTATAAGCATAGACAGGTGGGGCTACAAGCATAGACAGGTGGGGCTACAAGGCGAAGAGAGTAAGGAAGTAAGAGATGGGTAACGGTGTTGCGAGCCACTTCCCACTCTCACCTCCTCCCAGTCTCACCCTTCCCACTCTCACCTCCTCCCAGTCTCACCCTTCCCACTCTCACCTCCTCCCAGTCTCACCCTTCCCACTCTCACCTCCTCCCAGTCTCACCCTTCCCACTCTCACCTCCTCCCAGTCTCACCCTTCCCACTCTCACCTCCTCCCAGTCTCACCCTTCCCACTCTCACCTCCCCTCCTCCCCCCCCCCTGCTCCCCCGCTCTCACCTCTTCCCACGCCTTCACACACTCGTCAATGCTCCCCATTGCCTCCCGCACCACCTGCCTCCGCCCCTCCGCCATCTTCCCCCCCATAACCGCATCAAACTCCCCCTCCCATTCCTCCTCCCACCCCCTCCCCGCATCACACACCCCCACCTCGCCCTCCCCTGCTGCCGGCCCCGGCCAATACCGGGCTGCTGGGTCGATTTGAGAGAGGAGAGCTCGAGCCTGGAGGACAGGAGGAGGGAAGGGAGGCGGGAAGGGAGGGGGAAGGGAGGAGGGAAGGGAGGAGGGAAGGGAGGAGGGAAGGGAGGAGGGAGGGAGAGATGGCAGAGGATGAGATATATCACACACCCCCACGTCACCCTCCTTTACTGCCGGCCCCGGCCACTACTGGGCTGCTGGGTCCATTTGACTAAGGACAGCACGTGTGGATTTTGAGATTTCTCATTTTTTTTCTAGAATTCTCAAAAAACATATTCACCCCTGCTGCCGGCCCCGGCCACTACTGAGCTGCTGGGTCGATTTGACTAAGAACAGCACGTGCCTGGAGGATAGGAGGAGGGGAGGGAGGAGGGGAGGGAGGAGGGGAGGGAGGAGGGAAGGGAGGGGGGAAGGGAGGAGGGAAGGGAGGCGGGAAGGGAGGGGGGAAGGGAGGAGGGAAGGGAGGAGGGAAGGGAGGCGGGAAGGGAGGAGGGAAGGGAGGCGGGAAGGGAGGAGGGAAGGCTGATGGGGCGATGCGCGAGAGGAGAGCTGCTGCTGGCCCTGCCCAGCTTGGGGCTGATGGGGCGATGCGCGAGAGGAGAGCTGCTGCTGGCCCTGCCCAGCTTGGGGCTGATGGGGCGATGCGCGAGAGGAGAGCTGCTGCTGGCCCTGCCCAGCTTGGGGCTGATGGGGCGATGCGCGAGAGGAGAGCTGCTGCTGGCCCTGCCCAGCTTGGGGCTGATGGGGCGATGCGCGAGAGGAGAGCTGCTGCTGGCCCTGCCCAGCTTGGGGCTGATGGGGCGATGCGCGAGAGGAGAGCTGCTGCTGGCCCTGCCCAGCTTGGGGCTGATGGGGCGATGCGCGAGAGGAGAGCTGCTGCTGGCCCTGCCCAGCTTGGGGCTGATGGGGCGATGCGCGAGAGGAGAGCTGCTGCTGGCCCTGCCCAGCTTGGGGCTGATGGGGCGATGCGCGAGAGGAGAGCTGCTGCTGGCCCTGCCCAGCTTGGGGCTGATGGGGCGATGCGCGAGAGGAGAGCTGCTGCTGGCCCTGCCCAGCTTGGGGCTGATGGGGCGATGCGCGAGAGGAGAGCTGCTGCTGGCCCTGCCCAGCTTGGGGCTGATGGGGCGATGCGCGAGAGGAGAGCTGCTGCTGGCCCTGCCCAGCTTGGGGCTGATGGGGCGATGCGCGAGAGGAGAGCTGCTGCTGGCCCTGCCCAGCTTGGGGCTGATGGGGCGATGCGCGAGAGGAGAGCTGCTGCTGGCCCTGCCCAGCTTGGGGCCGACGGGACGATGCAGTGAAGAGAACTTTTGAGTCGACTCAAAAGCCATCACACATTTTCACCTCCCCTGCCCATGCTGCTGGCCCTGGCCAGCTTGGGGCCGACATGGCAATGTGGCGAAGAGATGCCAGGCTGAATCTGCCTTTTGAGAAATTTCAAAAGGCCGATGTGGTGAAGAGATGTTCGTGCCTCAAGGGAAGGGGAAGGCACGGAGGGGAGAAGAGGACGAGGGGACAGTTGTGGAGAGGAATGAGAAGCAGCGGAAGCAAGGAGTTGCGGGAGGAGGAGAAAGGAGAGGACAATGGGGAGGAGGTGAAAGGGAAAGGGAAGGGAGAGGTAGAGGAGGATAGGAGCATTGTCGTGAGAGCGGAAAGGAGCAGTGGGAGATAGGATAGCTGCAGAGGAGAAAGGAAGGCATACGGACGACTGGTGGTTTTCGGGGATTCTCAAAACCACCCTGAGATACCACCCTGCTAGCTTGAGGCACATCTTACCCTGCGCCCTCACCTTACCCTCACCTTACCCTCACCTTACCCTCACCTTTTCTCCAGCAGCACACGGGCGGCTGCACGGGCGGCATTTCACGCCATTTAGCGGCACAGAGGCGTTGATGGAGTAGACGACAGGGATGCTGCAGCCTTCTCCATAAGAGCGTTGGGTGAGCACACAGAAGGACAGGTTGGCTCGTTGCACCGTGATGTTCCCCAGGGCTAGCTGGGCCTCGAAGGCTCGCTCTGAGTTGAGGCGTCTGGGAGGGGAGGAGGTGGGAGGGAGAGAGGCGAGGAATGGCAAGAGAGTGGGTGGGCACACAGAGGGGCCGGTTGGCTCGCTGCAAGAGAGTGGGTGATGCCCCCTAGAGCTAGCTGGGCCGTGAAGGCTCGCTCTGATATTTGAAGGGCCTAAAAAGTCCTCCCTAGTGCTAGCTGGGCCGTGAAGGCTCGCTCTGAATTTTGAAGGGCCTAAAACGTCCTCCCTAGTGCTAGCTGGGCCGTGAAGGCTCGCTCTGAATTTTGAAGGGCCTAAAACGTCCTCCCTAGTGCTAGCTGGGCCGTGAAGGCTCGCTCTGAATTTTGAAGGGCCTAAAACGTCCTCCCTAGTGCTAGCTGGGCCGTGAAGGCTCGCTCTGAATTTTGAAGGGCCTAAAACGTCCTCCCTAGAGCTAGCTGGGCACTGACGGTTCATTTGAGTTGAGGTCTGCTGGAGAGGGAGGGTGGGAGAGAAAGATTGGGAGTGTGTGAGCGAGAGTGGAGGGACATGGTGCAGTAAGGGCAGTAGGAGTAAGGGAAACTTGGAAGATCCATGAGAAGGTAAGACAGCAGGAGCAGACGCGGCACGATATGTGTTATGTTGTAGGCCAAGAGTGTTCCGGAGCCAGCGTGTTCCCACCAAGGCCAGGCACTTCAATCATCCTCGCATGATCGCAATCCCAGCAGCATCAGAAGCATTCACCACAGCCTATTCACCTCTCCTCCAACAGGCGCAGAGCATCTTTCTCACTGCACCTCTTCGCAAGGTTCAAAATTACCAACGTATTTATGAATTTGATCTACGATTTCTCACAGGAGCCTATTAAAAGACACCGTATAAAACGGTAACATTTCAAAAATACGACCGTAATTTTGAACCTTGCCTCTTCGTACCCCTTCACGCCCATTCACGCCCATTCAGACCCATTCATGCCCATTCATACGCATTCACACCCATTCACACCCATTCACACCCATTCACACCCATTCACGCCCATTCACGCGCATTCACACCCATTCACACCCATTCACACCCATTCACACCCATTCACGCCCATTCACGCCCATTCACACCCATTCACACCCATTCACACCCATTCACACCCATTCACACCCATTCACACCTACTCACACCCATTCACGCCCATTCACACCCATTCACGCCCATTCACGCCCATTCACACCCATTCACACCCATTCACGCCCATTCACACCCATTCACCCACCTCATCTTGTGCCTCGCCAGCAGGCGCAGGGCACTCAGCCGCTTCAAGGCTGCTTCACTCGCCTGTCTCCCTCCCATCCCAAACCGGTCGTTCAGCCCCCGCCAGTCCGACCCATACGGAATCGTGTAGGCCAGACCATCACCCACCCCACTGCCGCCATCCCCAGTGCCATCATCCCCATTACTGCCTGCTACCATTCCAAAAGCGGAATCACCATTTGCTGCTTCCAAGCTAGTGCTCCGGAAAAGGGGAAGCGGCAGGGGGGAAGCACCCACGCTACCACCAGGGGGGTTGGGGAGAAGTAGGAGCGGCGGGGGTTGGATGTTTGCGGGGGCGGTCCAGAGGGAGTCGAGGCGGGCTCGCACGATCCAGTTGTAGCGCAGGGGCGGTGCTGACGTGGCTTGTGCTGACGTGGCTTCAAACGATTGGATCATGTCCCAGCACCCCTCCACCAGGCGGAAGTACTGTAGCAGACCCTGAAGGCCGTTCGGTGAGGTGCCAGTGAACATGACCCCAGTGGGGTATTTTGTCTCATCCACGTCGGTGTTGGGGAATACTCGCACAGCTGCTATGGTGTTTTCCCGCGCCAAACGCGCCCAATCCCGTGCTGCCACGTCATCCCCTTCCCCCTCTCCAGTTGTGCTGGTACTGCTGAGGAAGGTTCGGAGGAAGCTGAGTTTGGCAGCGGTTTCGTCTAGAGGTGCGTGCAGGAAGAGGTGTGAGGGGCGGTGGGAGGGAAAGCGGTGGGCGGAACGGAAAGAGGGGTGGGCGGAACGGGGAGAGGGGTGCGCGGAGGGCAGCAGCAGGTGGCGCAACAGCGAGGGCCCCGTTGCCTCAAAGGCCCGCGCTGACCCCACCAGACACACTGCTATGGGCGGGAGGGGTGGCGGCTGGGGGCAGGGGAGGGAGAGAAGATGGTAAGACACAAAGGGGGGAAGTAAAAGAGGTAAGTGAGTTGCCTCAAGCCCGCGCCGACCCCACCAGAACACCGCCGCGGTGATGGGGGGAGGGGCGGCTGGGGGCAGGGGGCAGGGAGAAGGAACAGTGTTGGGGAAGAACCGTGGAGTGGGTGGGGTAGAATGGCCGATTCAGTCTGCCTCGAAGGCCCGCGCCGACCCCACCAGACCCATGGGGGGGAAGGGTGGCGGCTGGGGGGAAGGGGGCAGGGGAAGCTCTTTTAAAGAGAGCAGAGGGAAGGCAAAAGGTTACGTGTCGCTCTTCCCTCTTCACTCTTCAATCTTCAATCTTCGCTCCTCTTCCACATTTGGAGGGGCAAGAGAAGTGGAGCGGGAACGACTTTTGAGGCGCCTCAAAAGCAGAGGGAAGGCAGAAGGTTACGTGTCGCTCTTCCCTCTTCACTCTTCACTCGCAACGCAATATTCGCTCTTCCCTCTTCCCTCTTCACTCGCACTCTTCCCTCTTCCCTCTTCCCTCTTCTCTCTTCCCTCTTCACTCTTCAATCATTGCACTTCCACATTTGGATGGGCAAGAGAGTGGAGCGGGAACGGAAGACATTTACTCACTCGCATCCACCTCCCAGTTATTTCCTCCCGCAGTCACTCACTCACTCACACACACACTGACGACCGTCCTTAAACAACCTAAGCTCTCCTCCACTCACTCACATTGTCGGCCACCATTACTTCTCTCTCACATACTCACTTCCTCACTCTCTCACTCCTCACTTTCTCCCTCCCTCAATCAATCACTCAATCACTCACTCACATCATCATCCCCTTCAGGCCCATCGATCCACGAGCGTCTGAGCGGCCAATGTACCGCTGCAAACGCTGACGTCAGCACGACAAAGACAATAGCGAGGGCCTTGGCACGACGAAATTGCAGTATAGTACAACTTGAAGCACCATCGCCCTCTCGATGATGCAAGGCTTTCTTTGGAAGTCCGCTGGCGGCATCTCGTTGAAGAAAGTCTGAACAAGCTATGTGAAAGTGAGGAGTGAGTTACTAATGACTGCTAGTAGTAAACTGATCTATCATGGACGAGAGGGCAAATTCTGACAATCCGACACGATTAAAACGACCGCGCGCCTCGCCGCGGCGCTCGTTTCCAACCAGCGATCGGAAGGCGATTCGCCCAGTCTGTCAAAAGAAACGAGCTCTATGGGTTCTGGTTCCACGACAGCGGCGCTCGCTGAGCCTACTTACCACTGGTAAGCCTTGCTTGAAGCAACGCCACAAGTTGCCGCACAATTCGCACGGCAGCGCCGCTCATTTCGCGTCATTTGAACGGCTTTTGCTCTCCTGAGGGCACCGCCGGCCTGAAAATCTCTCTGAAACCGTTCACCGAAAACCTGAACGGGCAAGGCCGCAAAGAGGGTACCGACTGTGACTGGTTGCTGCTGTTTTGGCCAAAATCACAATCTGGGTCTGGGGATGTGGTTCCCAGCTGGTTTTCGTCACGCCGGCCATGTTCCACCGTCCACGCCCTTGAGCAGCGGGATTGTCTGTGGGATTGAGCACACGGCCTGGATACAGAACGGTTCCCTACTACGTTTTGCACAGCATCGTGCCTCACTGGTGGTCGTGAGGTGACTGATAGCTGCTGTTTTGGAGGACGGCATCCGCAATCTGGGTCTAGCAAAAGAGGTTTCCAGCTGGTTTTTCGTCACTCCGGCCATGTTCCACCGTCCAAGCCCTTCGGCGAGATTGTCGTGGTACAGAACGGTAAATCATGTTTTCTCAATAGAACGTATAACACTACAAGAATGCATAAATTCACTTTCTTAATTGGTCCTATGTAAAACAAACGACAATTCCTTGCTTCGCTTCACATCGCATACCGCGCACAAGACTGTTCCCGCCACTGCACCTCAATACTGGCATTCCGTAACTATTTCGCGACACTCACATCGACTACCGTTCGCGACACTCACATCGACTACCGTTCCCGCCTACCACGACCATCGCGCACAAACCTCACGGCTCGGCTGGTAAACCGCGGCCCGGCCCTACGCCTCGACATTTCACAAACCTCGGCGCTAGGCCCAAAGGGCACCCTTTGCGAGCACGCGTTGCCGTTACCGTACCATGGTTTTTTCTATTTAACAATTCTATAAGGAATTTTCCCTAATTCCTTACTGAGGCACTCTATGCGCGTACAACTCCAACTTTCGGAGTTCCTGGCTCGGTCTGACGACCTCGCCCTCCGAACGTCCCTCGCGTCGCCTTCGGGTTTCCCAACCCCGAACCTGCACCCAGCCATGCGCGGTCCCGCGCCCTCGACCTAGCTAGCCTTCGCTATATCAATGCTAGGCCTCATTATTTGCTTATGTTGTATTCACTTCCGCGTTATTGAATCCTGCGCACTTTCTTCATTACAACTCATAACACTTGGTATCAGAGCTACTTTCCTAGGTTACCCTCGCGTTTCCGGGGTAGTTTAGTGACAGGGTGCGATAGACTTGGTGGGCTGCAAAGCGGTCGGCTGTGAAATATATACAATTATTTCACTCCGACTAAGTCAGCGTTCATCCCTTCATCAAAGTCATAAATATCGTTGTTAACCCTCTGCCCGCTAGGCGAAGTCTGAGAAGTATGGAGCACGTCGAGTTTAACGAGTTTCTGCAACAGTTCCGAGCGATGCAGGCCAGCATGCAGACGATGTCTGCAGAGGTTGAACGCCTAAGGGAGGAAAACGCCGAACTACGCCAGGCGCGGAGTGAAGCGCGCCAGGAGTCGCCCGTCGTGGATGAAGCAAGTAGTAGCTCCACGCCGAACGAGGCCGTCTTCAGTGAGCTCGAGGCTCCTTGGATGCTGCAGACGTGAGGCGGGCACAACGGCAACAGTCGCAAACAAAGCCGAGATAGGCACCAGCCACGACGCCGGCGATGGCATCAGCAGCAGCAATAATACATGCGGCAGCAACAGTTTCTACAAGTGTCAAGATTAAACTATTAAGTTGTCTAGGCTATACAGAGGCTAGCCTTAGGGGCTATAGCTTTCACCTCGACACTCTTGTTTGTACCCCATCCTAGACCTAATCAACACACTTCTCCTAAACTCTCTTGACATGGTATCAGAGCAGGTCCTTCTAAGGACCGTTTTTTTTTTAAGGGCCCACCAGTTAGCCTTTTTTTCTGCCCGAATTTTCTGCCCTGCCCAGCGCTTTCGCGCTGCCCTGCTCTGCCCTGCCGCGCGCAGCCCGTACAGCCCACGCACAGCCCGCGCTTAGCCAGTACAGCCCGCGCGCCACCCGCGCGTCGCCCCTACAGCCCGCGCGCGGCCCGTGCGCAGCCTGTGCAGCCCGCGCCAGGCCCGCGCGCAGCCCGTACGACCCGCGCAAGGCCCGCTCGTGGCCCGCACAGCCCGCGCCAGGCCCGCACGCAGCTTGTGCAGCCCACGCCAGGCCCACGCGCGGCCCGTACAGCCCGCGCCAGGTCCGCGCGCAGCCCGTACAGCCCGCGCCAGGCCCGCGCGCACCTGCTCTGCCACGCGCGCACCTGCACTGCCCCTGCTGCCGCCTGTGCTACTGTTACTGCACTGCTTTTACTGCACTGCTGTTCCTACACTGCTGATGCTGCACTGCTGTTACTGAACTGCTGTTGCTGCACTGCTCTTGCTGCTAAGCTACTGCTACTGCCCTGCTGCTCTGCTGCCCTGCTGCTCCTGCCCGCGCGCCGCTAGTCTGCAGCCCTTGCGGCCAGCGCCCTTCCATTGCCGCCCACGTGCCGCCTCTACTGCCTGCGCGCTGCTTCTGCTTCCCGCGCGCCGTCTCTGCTGCCCGTGCGCCCGCTGCAGCCATGGCTACGCTCAATGTCCTTACCTTCGACCCTGACGGCCGCCCGATAGAGTTTGCCACGTGGCTAGATGACCTGAAACTGTTCCTCATGACCGATGCTAAAGACGGAGTTTCCCTGTTTGACCACGCGTCTGGATCCTCAGTTGCTCCTCCTGACACAGCTGACAGCCTCTCTCGTTCACAGTGGCAGACCCGTGACGCGGCTGCTCGCCTAGCTATTCGCAACCATCTGCCATTAGCTGAACGTGCTCACTTCGGCCAGCACAAGACCGCTAAGGACCTGTACACCGCTGTAGTCGCTCGCTACTCTTCCCCTGCCACTTCTGCTCTCAGCCGCCTTATCCTGCCCTACCTGTTCCCCGAGCTGTCCTCCTTTGCCACAGTTGAGGACCTCATCTCCCACCTTCGAGCTAGTGACGTTCGCTACCGTGCCGCTCTCTCAGCCGAGTTCTTAGCCGCGAACCCGCCCCCGATGTACATCACGCTCTACTTCCTAGTCACCCGCCTCCCTGACTCCCTTCGTACAGTCAGGGACCACTTTCTAGCGCTCGACCCTACCGCCCTCACTGTCGACGACTTCGAGAAGCACCTCCTTGCAGCAGAGAAGAGCATTGTCGCTGTAGGTGCTGCTCGTGGCACTCCTCGCACTCCCCTCTTTGAGGGGTGTTCCTCCTCCCCCCTTGCCCCCTCCTACGCTTCTGCTGCTGCTGTTGACTTCCTTGGTGCAGAGGAGGTCGGCGCTGCTTCTGCTCCTAGTGGGAAGCGCCGCAGCGGCAAGGGTAGGGGCGGCAGGAGTGGTGGAGGTGGCGGAGGGGGGGGCGGTGGTGGAGGCGACGGGGGTGGTGGAGGTGGCGGAGGTGGCGGTGGGAGTAATGGTGGGAGTGGAGGCGTCGGTGGCGGCGGTAGCGGTAGCAGTGGGAGTGGAGGCGGCGGAGGCGGCAGCAGTGGGAGTGGTGGCGGTGGAGGCGGCATCGGCGGTGGTGGCGGCACTGGGAGCAGTGGCGGCGGCAGTGGTGGCGGTCGGGGTGGAGCCTTTCAGAGGGGAGGCTCTGGAGGTGGTCAGAGGCAGCAGCAGCAGCAGCAGCGTCCGCACGAGACCCTTACGCCCCAGCAGCTTCGTGAGTGGTATGCTCAGCGTGGGGCGTCTGGGGGTACTGTTCGCTGCCCGTATGTTATTCGCACCGGTCCCCACACTGGGCAGCCATGCGGGAAGTTCCACACCGAGTACCGCTGCTTCTCCCGTCTTGATGATGCCTGGCGCACATAGTTTCCTGATGCAACTGAGCTCCCCCGCTGGGCAGACTTGCTTAAGCGCGATGTTGATATCTTTGCTCTAGACTATGATACTATTCTTACTGCCATGTATGCATTGTCTGTTAGTGCTGAGGGTGACTGTTACCTGTGTGTGCCGCCTGACCCAGGTATAGAGGCTGCTGCTCTCTGTGCTAGTGAGTCTGCTCTCTCTGGTACTGCGCCTGCTGAGGCCTTGCACACTTTCACGCTTGACTCAGGTGCTTCTCGCTGCTTCTTTCGCGACAGTACCACTGTCACACCACTCCCTGCACCTGTTGCAGTCTCTCTGGCTGACCCCTCAGGGGGCCCAGTTCTTGCTCGTTCCACCACTGTTCTCCCGTGTCCGGCGGTTCCGTCTGGCTCACTGTCAGGTCTTCACCTCCCCTCGTTCTCGACGAACTTGGTGAGCAACGCCGTCCTACAGGATGCATGGGTTGATACCTTTACACCTGGAGGACAGCGTGTGGCGATCTGTACGTGCTCCCGGACTGGCCGTCACCTGGCCACGTTCACCCGTCGGCCTGGGTCGAGTCTGTACACACTGACTACTGAGCCTCCTCAGGTAGCTGCGTCTTGTCAGGTGTCCGCGTCGAGTCAGGTAGCCACCCCTTGCTTGTGCCGCCACCTCTCGCACCAGACTCTCCTGTGGCACCACCGCCTTGGTCACCCCTCCCTGCCACGCCTCCGTGGCATGCACTCCCGTCTCCTTGTCTCTGGTCTTCCCAGGTCTCTGCCCCCCCTCCCGCGCTCGCCTGCCCCGCCCTGTCTTCCCTGCGTCGAGGGGCGGCAGTGCGCCGCTCCTCACTCCTCCTCGTTCCCTCCGACAGAGGCTCCCCTGCAGACTCTCCACATGGACGTGTGGGGCCCAGCCCGCGTCCAGGGACAGGGGCGCGAGCGGTATTTTCTGCTGGTTGTCGACGACTACACGCGCTACACCACGGTCTTCCCCTTGCGCAGCAAGGGGGAGGTCCATGATGTCTTGATCCCTTGGATCCGCGCTGTCCGTCTCCAGCTCCGCGAGCGGTTCCACCAGGACCTTCCTGTCCTGCATCTGCACTCTGACAGAGGTGGTGAGTTCTCCTCTGACCTCTTGCGGGGCTTCTGTCAGGAGGAGGGCATCACCCAGTCGTTCACGCTTCCGGCCTCTCCGCAGCAGAATGGGGTTGCTGAGCGCCGCATTG